ATACATACTATATCAGCCTTATATCTTCATAATGCTTCCACATGCACCTCGGTTGTCCCTGCTGGCTCATCTCCTCACTATCGACAGAGAGGAGGAGCAATTCGTATTGGCACATAAAATCAATCGAAAGAAAAGAAAACAAAAGGAAAGACGAGATACCTTTGAAGGCGATTGTGCCAAGGTTAGAGAAGACAGAAACTTAAGATTGAAGAGAGTGGAGAGTAGAGGATAAAGGAAAACGTGTTCCTTTCTTGAGGTCGGAGCGAGATCGGAGACGRCGGCGATRATAAAAATCAATGAACTCCTTCGACAATTTTGTTTGTCAGTGTTAATAATGGTATAATAGTCTTTTCATCTATTATTTGGCCTATATTTTTAATTATAAAATATTTGGTATATTCTTTTAATTTGTTTTTAAAAAAAACTATTTACTTAATTTTAAAGAAACTGGATATCGAATCCATTTTAAAGAAATGTTTAAACTTTTGTAGTTTATTGCTAATGTTGGAGTGCCTCTTTCAACTTCAGAATTTTTGTTGTCATAAAAAGCAACATAAGACCGAGGAGATCTTTATTTTAAAATTAATTATTTGTTTAGAAGTTCTGAAATTTCAATTCTGCAATGCCTTTTAAATCCAGAGTTCATTTGTATTGGACGAGCCTTTGTATGAATTTCTTTTTCATCAAAGTTTCTTTCGTATGGTAAATCAAAAATATGTTGTTTACGATTCCAAAAGCCTGTCGATAAATCTGAACAAATTTCTTTACCGAACAGTTTACTAAAATTTGAAATCTTTTCTCTTATGTGTATTTTTCTAAAGCTTATTTTGTTTTTTTTTTTGGTGACACAATTTCTGATTATTATTTTCTAAATGAAAATTTTCACTATGTATTAAAGAATTTATAAAAAAAATTGTAGAAAACATGCTTTTATTAAATTTAAGTACCACTTTTTTGGACTAATATAATTTTATATGTTGATATTTAAAAGAAATCGAATCATTTATATCTTTATATGGTCTGATTAAGTTTATGGAAGAAGTACCTAAACTAGCATTTTGTTATATATCAGCAGTGAGGGCATAGTTTGGAATTGTTTGTCGCTGAGAGTTTTACATGGGTTCCGAGATGAAAACATTTTGGGACATGTCCAGATCTGATAGAAACAAGAAACAAGATCTGATAGAAACAAGGGAAATTGTATCAATTTTATAATTTTCGAAGAAAACTATCATGACTCTAATTTTATATATTCTGGAGGTGAATTCTCTTAATACATAGAAAAAATCGTTGGGAACTAAGTCTAGCGACTGTATTGGTTCTTTTAGATCTAGATCTTTTTCTGGATTTTTTTTTCTAGGTAATCATCATCTCTTTTATGTTTTGCTTTGAGGATTTTGAGCTAATTTTTTTCCTTATTTAATTTCAATCTAAAGATTTTGATTGTAGTTTTGGAATAATCTTTCTTTTTCTTGTTGAGAATAGTTGTAAGATAATAAGAAGATTTTCTTGTGGTTGGACCAAGTGGTTTTGGAGGATTTCTTGAGTTGTTTGTTTCTTTTTCGTTGAGGGACGAAATGATTGTTTCTAAGAATTTTTGTTTTATTTGGGAAACTGAAATGGAATTCAGAATTTCTAGTTGGAATTTTTGGTCTTTTGTAAAGACATAAAATTAATTTTTATCGGATTCTGAGACCGATGATGAATCTTATTTTAGTTCATCAACTTGTAAAGTTTTTTTCTGAGGTAATGGTGAATCAGAATCATATGATGAAGAAGAATAATCTACTAAGAGATTTTATATCTTCCTCGAAAGTTCCTCTCCAAGATTGAGTTCTTGTATTTTTCTATGTAAATGATTTTTTTTTATGTGTGGCTTTCCTTGTTGCATTTGAAGCATGTTAGGTTTTTATAGAAATGTTTGTTTGTTGGGGTTTCTTTTGATAGAAATTTTCTTCGTGACTTTTGCCACAAATTTTTACGTGTTCTATGTTCTTTATAGTTTGGAGGAAATCTTTTAGGTTTCTTTTTGGGGTAATAAGTTTTACTGCAATCTCCTATGCAAGATTTACTATTTTTGCTAAGGTCAGTTTCAAATTGTTTACATAAAGAACCTAAATCTACTTTAGTTATTTTGAGTTCCCATTTAAGATGTGTTTGGAGTTTAAGATCTTGGCAAATCTTAAGATCTTATAGTTGAACAAGATTGATTAATTTTCTATAGGTGAAATCATTGTAGCCAATTATTTGGTTCTCTTGGAGTATCTCTAATTTTAAATCTAAACTTGTTCTCGTATAAGGATTGGAAGTCGTGCGAGGAACTTTTGTTTCCAAAAAAGTTGATTTGAATCCTGACGAAGTAGAATCCTAGTAACAAAAATATTTTTATACCATTAGAAATCACTTAGTTTTTTGCATTTTAGATTTGAAATGAATTTAACTTTTGTTTTATCTCTCAAAATTGAGGGGTATCCTATAAAATGCAAGGTTATGGCTATAATTAGAGTTGATACAACATCATGTTGGAGATTTCCTAAGTCTAATAGGAGCGGGATATTACCTTCATCATTTTAACAACATCTAGAATTTTCGTACGTTGCTAACTAGTTAGTTAATTATCCGAGCATCCTTTAAGTTGGCCTGGAAAGCCATCTATGAGGAGTTCAGCTACAGTTATCCTTATTCCTAAGTTGGGTTCTATAGGCATTAGCAGCCACTATCATTTTTTTAAGGAAACATAAGATATTGTACTCATATGTGCCATCAATATTCTTGTTATATGCTAAGGAGAAGTTTAACCTAAATCGCTCTATTGGTTGAATTTGCCCAAGGTCATAGGCGGATGTTATGTGACGTTCATGATTGTTTTTCCAATCAAAGCGATTTAATTGAGGGGTTAGATTTTGGAATTGTTCAAAGGTATCACCTATGAGCTAGGGTATTTATTTGGACTTCAGAATTTTTGTGCATACTAGTATCACCTATTTCGATCTTGCTTAATTGACTTTGAACAGCACGAATAAATTATGTATTCCTGTCGTGATACGTTTTAGTGTTACCATTTAAAATTTGGAAAGGTTTGAACATGGGGATATTAACCTTCTTTTTTTAAACACTTTATTTAATTATTCAAACTGATTTAAAATAGATTATATCACTGAAGAAATTCAACATATGAAATATAAAAAAAAACTAATGATCCTTTCTGCACCGAAAATTAAGTGATGATAATAATCATTGACGACACATTAGTGATACCAAGATGATCTTGTTTCGAATCGAAGGTAGATAATTAGGTGTTCTCGAATCCAAAATAGCAGCTGGACTTCCAAATCTATTCCGATACATGATAACAATTTTCTTAACTTAGATAAATCTTCTTCTTTGATTGTCTTTGTCAATTTTGTTCTGAGTTAGTTTCAGTGAAGCCGCCGTTGAACAAGTTTGAACTGCAAAACTTAAATCAAATATGTAGCCAAAATTGACTAGAAACTAAACATAGATCTTCTACGAGGAAAAAACCTCAACTAAAAACTTCACCAAAAAAAAAGACTAAAGCCAATCAAGGAAATCACAATAACACATAAAATCCAGACGACGAATAACATCGCATCGTCTTCTCACCAAAAACTCCATGACATCTTCTAGACTTCATGTCGAGCGTAGAAACTACTAGTTTACAACATTCTCTCTCACGATGCCGGCAAAAGCACCGGATATCGGAGAGGGAGTAAACTCAAATCACTTTTTTCTCCCCTTTTTCTCTGACGGCTAGAGTTTTATCAGAAGTTAATAACTAAATGTCATTTAAACTAGTTCTTTTACCTTCCTTTCAGACGAAGATTCTATCGGGATAATGAGTTCCTTTTAAATTGATTTATCAATTTTATCAATTAAGCTGATTACTTATTGTACCAAGATATGTGTTTAAGAAAATTGTTTTGGAAGATAATATTTTTGACATTAGTTTTATCATCTTCATGTGGTCGTTAAAACGAAATAGCTTCAATTAATGTACCTAATAGTTCAAGCTCTATAATAGTTATATTGTCGTGTTATTCTGTTGTTAACATATTTTAGGTTTAAAACTTCTTATACATAAAACCAAATTATTTTTCATATGATCAAGTAACAAATACTAGTACGAATCGATGTTTAAAATATTTTGGCTATTGTTTAATCCAAGAAAAATAAAACA